TCCAAAGGGGAGCCTCTTGGATGCAATCGGGGTTGTCTGAACAGGGAACCTGATGTGGGGGCAGGAACTGAAGCTCTTCCTGGACCAGCTGCCTCCTGTTGGAAACATTTCCAGGGCTCCCCTCGCACCCTGTTTATTTCCACAGCTTCTGTGTCTTCCTCTGTGCTCCAAAGGCTTCTGCTTTTGCAGGCTGAACTCTTGGAGCCCCTGTGTGCCCGGGATGGAGTTGGAGCCCAGCCCTTTGACCCTCACTTGGGGTCAGTAGAGCCCTGAGCCATTCGGAACACTGGGGAGGATGAGTGTAGACTGTGCACTTCTGCCCCCTCTGCCAACCTGGCAGGCAGGTGCTGCATTCACAAGGTCCTAGACTCCCACCAGGAAGTGAGGGCGCCTGGTGGGAGCCCAGGGAGTCCCAGCTGCTCTTCCTTCCCCCTTCCCCTAGAAGAGCCTGTTCATCTCCGGCGTAAGAACTGTCATTAGTGGGGACTGGCTAAGGTGGGCTGTAGGGACGCAGCCTACAGCCCCCTGGCTTCTCTTCCTTCCCCGTGGACCTCTCGAGGGACTCCCTTGTCTCTGTCTCTACTTCTCAGAAACACCCCAATCAGGCTGGGTGTGGTGGCTCACGCCTGTAGTCCCAGCCCTTGGAGGCTGAGGTGGGCAGATCACTTGAGGTCAGGAGTTCAAGACCAGCCTGGCCAACATGGTGAAACTCCATCCCTTCTAAAAATACAAAAAATTAGCCTTGGTGGTGGTGTACACCTGTAATCCCAGCTACCAGGAGACTGAGCTGGGAGGATCATTTGCACCCACTGGAGGTTGCAGTGAACCAAAATAGCACCACTGCATTACAACCAGGGCAACAGAGTGAGACTCTTCCTAAAACAAATAAATAAATAAAATAAAGGGGAAAAAATAAGCCCCAATCTGTGTTCCCTCCTTCCCCCTAGGACCAGGCCTGCTGGGCAGCAGTGGAAGCTGACCTTTCAGTAGATCCACAAACTGAAAGGTGAACGGGATGTCGTGCTTCTTTGAAAAGATGTAGACGGCCCGGCAGGGTGCTGACAGCAGGTCCATGTAGAGCTCCAGGGCCATGTTGAGACGATGCCGGGTGCCACAGCCTCATCCGGCCAGCCGCAGACCTGGGCCTGTGTCTGGCCGGGGCCCCTGGCCCTGTGCCCTCTCCCATTTGGCCGCAGGACCCTGTATTCTGGAACTTCTTGTTTCCCTTTGTGTTGTCATAAGGCCAGGGAACCTTCAGTTCTCACAAGGCCAGGGAGCCTGCAATTCTCACAGCCTCAAGCATTCTAACGAGGCCCAGGAGTAGGCTGGGGAGAGGCCCATGGCAAAGGTGGGGCAGCTGTGACCCTACTCTCCCCTGCCACATGTGTCTGTGCCCTGTGGCGCCCCCTCACAGACACCCCATCTGAGAAGGGATTATGCCTGGGAATTCCCAGGGCCTGACTTTCCTTGCAGAATCTGGTGAAAGGGGCTTTGCAGGGTGTAGAATGAGCAGGAGGCGATGAGAATTGTCCCTGGAGGGTTCTAGAAGGGTTATCTTGGTGACCTACATCATTTTCCCACCCCGGCAGCTCCAGCTGGTTCAGGCTCCAGCGAGGTTCCAACCTCCAGCATTCACTCCTTGGGTCCAGCCTCTGCCTCAGAGCTGCACAGGCTGAAATGAGGAAGGGGCTGCAGTGATTTGGAAAGTCTCCCCTCTTACCTCTGCCTCCCCCCTACAACTCTGAGCCCCAGATCCTGGCTCTGACCCTGGGTGGGCACCAGGTCACCATTACCTCTCTGCTATTAGGAAGTCGCCTTCTCTGAGGGCAGGCACCTTTCCGAAAGGGGTTCACCTTTAGGAACTCCGGCTTCAGGTGGTCCCCTGCTGGGCAGAAAGGAGGGAAGGCTGAGTGTAGGGCCTGGTCCTTGGCACCTACTCCATGGGGCCCCACCCAGCCACCTGGCTCACCTCAAGCCAACTCCACAGGCTGCAGCTCAGGAGGGATGCCATTCTTTCCGGCGAAAGTAAATGGCGTGGCAGGGAGGTGAGTACAGGTCCAGGCACAGCTGCAGTCCCATTGCTGCTCCTCCCACCTGCCCTCCCCAGAGGTCTGGACCTCAAGGGGTTGCTCAGCCCTTCTCTGCCTATGCTGGGCTGTTTCCTATCCATAGTCTGCTGTTCTTGTCTGGAGAACAGGGCAGGCTGGGCTTCAGGGACCTTCTCTGGGCATTCCAGGGAAGGTAACTTCATCTTCTCTCTTAACTCTTCCTGACAATTCTCTGGAGCTGGGCACCTTGTAAAACCCATGTCCCAGAATGCCTAACCTGGAAATGCAATGTCAGTGTTGTAACTGCATTGAAACTGAATGAATGAGGTTCCCACCCTTTTATCTAAATACCCTATCGGTCTGTTCAATGTCAATGTATGTAGGGATGGTGTTGGGGGAGGCCAAAGGGAGTCTTCATTTCTGTAGCCTTCCACATGTACTATGCGGTTTTCCTCTAATGATCCTTGGACACCATGTGGTCACTGTTTCCCTGCATAAACGTTTGATGATTCTTGTCTTTAGCACACCAGTGAATCATCAAATGCAGATTTTCAGGCTGTGTAGTCTGCATAGTTAATAAAGTCAGTTTCTAACGGAATATGCCTGTACCTGCTGTGTTTGTACCTGACCACTGCGAAGGACTCTCATTAAAAGCTGGACCTTGGAGTTCCTTCCCCTGGTCTCCGGCCCCCTGGCCCAACTGTTTTGCACTCTTTCCTCTGCCAGTGTGTTTCATGGTGTTCTGCTTCCCAGAGTGCCTCAGGGAGTGTTTGGGTTTCATGTGAATGAATTGTTGCAGTCTCCAAGGATGGGATTCAGGCCTAACTCTCCCAAGACCATAAGGCAACAGTCTTCGATCTAGAATCTCCATGTTAAATCTGCCATCCTCACTGTAGTGAGAGTGATACTGAGACAGAAAAGTTAGGTAATTAGGGTGGGTCCTTGGTAAAACTCCTTTAAAGAGGAAACAGCCTGAAAATTCAGCAGGCACAGATAAGGAAAGTTGCAAACCTCCGGCCCACTTACATAAAGGAACAAGGTGCAACACAGAAACCCCTTTGATGTTTGTGCCTAAGACATGCCTGCAGCTACTTTGATAAGGGAACAAGACCAAGCATAGAAATGGCTTTGTCCTTTGTACAACCAGCGGGCTTCCAGGAAATAGTCTCTTCTGCTACTGCGGGAATGTACACAGTGGGCTCTGGTGGGTTCCAGTAGGCACTTTCCTTTCTTGGACATGCTTTAGACTGTGAGCTGAGCCTCTATGATCATCACTTCAGCCCCTGATTGGTCCTGGGCCAGGCTATCGCGTCAGCTCCTGATTGGTCCCTGTCAAGGTCTGGGTCAAGCTGAGTAGCACTTCCTCCAAGACCAGTCAGCACATTCCTTTCCTTCCAGTCCATAAAAACCTCTTTGCCTCAAAGTAGGCAACCCACTCAGCCCTTCTCCTCTGCAGTGAGCTTTCTTCTTTTGCTTATTAAACCTGTACTCTAACCTCACCCTTTGTGTCTACACTCTTTAATTTTCTTGGCCGTGAGACAAAGAATTCTGGGTGATACCCCACAATGAGAGGCTGGTACATTGTGGTGCATGGCAAGACTGCAACAATGTTTTCTGCTTGCTTGTGTGGACTGGGCTCTTCCCACCTCTCCAGAGTGCTCTCCCCACATTGTGGCCCGGAGCTTTGCCTTATGGTAACACTGTGCTGCCTGACATTCCTGTATGATCTGCATGTTTCTCACCTCGGGACCCTCCCCACACAGCTTCCTGCTGCTTGGACCACCCTTCCCACTTATTTTCGACTGTTTCTTTCCAGCACATCTTTCACACTAAGGCTCGAGTGGAAGCTGCATCGAGGCTGAAAGTTATCCATGTAGCTTTGAAACCATCTGTTTATGCTTCTGTTCATCCCCTCTGCAATACTGTTTACCCCAATACTCAGTCAAGGTTGGTGACTCAACAATTTTCAAAACTTCTAGCTTATCAGTGCAGCTTTACTGTACTGAACTGAGTTTTTCACCATGCTTTTACTGTCTTCAAGGTTAAAAAGGCCCCAGCATTCATTCCTATTTAAATCATCCTTGCTAGACTCAAGAAGCTATGAATTCAACCACAGTGTAAAGTTCTTCCCCACAATGCTTTATTATTGTTATAGCTCCCAAGAGAGTACCGTCTAGCCTTGACAGAAGCCTTCAACTCTGTCACCTTTTTCAGCTCTGGAATTCTGACACCACCCATCACCCCCTCCTAGCTCATTTCCTCCTAGTTCATTTCCTAGGTTTTGTTCTTTTTCTCATTTTTTTTCAATATTCTATTGTATCTGTGACTTTTGGGCTTCAAATCTGTTTTGGAAAGAGGAGAGGCACAGGTAATATAATGAATGAAGATGCTTTTCCTCCCTGGTTCTAAGTCAAGCTTCTCCAACCTGCTGGAGGGCTTGGCTTTGAATGCAGCTCAACACAAACTCACAAACTTTCTTAAAACATTTTGAGATTGTTTGGTGACTTTTATTTTTATTATTTATTTATTAGCTCATCAGCTATCCTTAGTGTTAGTGTATTTTATGTGTGGCTCCAAACAATTCTTCCAACGTGGCCCAGGGAAGCCAAAAGAGTGGTTATAACACATAGCACATCGTTTAGCAACTGCTCATGATTTAGCAAGCTGTGGAGCCGGGTAATAACCCACAGCTGTAGGTAATAACGCACAAAAAGCTGTAGGCAACAACACACAGCTGTGGGTAATAACACACAGCCTGTTAAAACTCACGCTCTGAATGAAGAGACTCCCCAAACAAGTTTTGTGTGAGCAACAGTTACAGTTTAGGGTAGTTTTTTGCAAGCTGGGAGGGGGTTGCAGGGTCTGGAGTCATGAGGTTGACTAAGGTCAGTTACAAAGTCCAATGGTCTTATCAATTGGGGCTGGAACAAGAAACAATAGAAGAATGTCTCAAGTTAGTTAGGCGCTGCAGGGATTGATCATCTTCCTCTTTTCATGGTCTTCCGGGGGTCACCATATGACACCGTCAGTCAGCCTAAAAGACCTTACATTCCTGTCTTTTTATATTTGTACTATAAAGGAAAAAGAAATGAAGAGTGAGGGCACAGGAATATTAGGAAGGCCAGCCCAGAGGGATGATGGGGCAATGTTTCTCAGGGCTTCTTTGAGTGGGCTTGGGGGCAGCTCAGAAACCTAAAAATGGGAAAGAATTTGGACTGCTGAGAGATTTGGGGGCAAAGGTTGATATTGCGGGGTTGTTGGAGCATTTGGCATATTGACTGATTGGTTATAGCTTGGATACGATTTTGTAGGAATTGAGAAATTAATCCGAAAACACAGGGTCCAAATAAGAGAAGGAGAAAGATAGGTATCAGAGGACTAAGGATTGGGGGAAGCCATGACTCCCAGTTAGAGAGTGTCCAGCCAGTCCACTGAGGTCCAGAATAACCATTTGCCTGATTAGCGAGCTTTTGGGCTCTGTCTTTTAATTTATTGATGGCATCATATACGAGGCCAGACTGGTTTACATAAAAACAACATTCTTCATTTAGAAATAGGCAAATACCTCCTTTTTCAGCACGACCTCTGTGGTTTTGGAGGACAACTGCAGCTGTGGAATTTCCTTGAGCTTGAAAAAGGGATAGTAATTGAGTTAATTCTGCAATGCTAGCAGAGAAATCATTAGAGAGGCTACGGAAGGTGACGACTGAAGGGGTAAGGCCTGCTACGCCTGTGCCGAGTGCAGTAGTAATTCTTAACCCTACAAGTGAGGGGATCAATGGAATGATCTGCTTGTGTTGTGTCAGGACCACAGGGGGAACAGGGAGGCTTTCGTTTCCGTTGGCAAACTGAATTTTGAGAGTAAGGAAAACTAGGGTACAAGTGCCTGTCCGGTTGGTAGGAAGGCAGATGTAAGAAGAAGAACCACCGAGGAAAAAAGTCCTTGGCTTAGACAGAACTGAAAAGGCAAGGAAGTGTTCTGAGGTGGCTGGGCTTCGGACCCAAATGCCAAGGGAACCAGTAAGGGCTGCGGCTGTTAAAGGTTGTAGCGGGGTTTGGAAGGGTAACTGTGTGGAAGGAGAGCTTTTGTTTTCATGGTGTATGAGGAAGCGTGTGGTATCTATAAGTAACTGCTCACTTTCATTAAGAAGATTGGGTATGAGCAGAGAATGGGAGTGAGATTAAGAGTATAAAAGAAGAGAGCCGGGCGCGGTGGCTCACGCCTGTAATCCCAGCACTGTGGGAGGCCGAGGCGGGTGGATCACGAGGTCAAGAGATCGAGACCATCCTGGTCAACATGGTGAAACCCCGTCTCTACTAAAAATACAAAAAATTAGCTGGGCATGGTGGCGTGTGCCTGTAATCCCAGCGACTCAGGAGGCTGAGGCAGGAGAATTGCCTGAACCCGGGAGGCGGAGGTTGCGGTGAGCCGAGATCGCGCCATTGCACTCCAGCCTGGGTAACAAGAGCGAAACTCCATCTCAAAAAAAAAAAAAAAAAAAGAAGAGGACTTTATGCGGTGGAGGAATTGGAGAGTTCCCTGCCACTGGAGATTATCCACTCTGAGAGAATTAAGGGTGGCAATCTGAGGGTAAAATCATGAACTATCAGCTGTAATTGCCTGGAGGAAAGGTGTAAACTGGGAACATTTTTTTTTTTCTTAGATGTAATCTTGCTCTGTCACCAGGCTGGAGCGCAGTGCTCAGCTCACTGCAACCTTCGCCTCCCAGGTTCAAGCGATTCTCCTGCCTCACCCTCCTGAGTAGCTGGGACTACAGGTGCAGGTGCCACCACGCCCAGCTAATTTTTGTATTTTTAGTTGAGACGGGGTTTTACCAGGTTGGCCAGGATGGTCTTGATCTCTTGACCTTGTGATCCACCTGCCTCGGCCTCCCAAAGTGCTGGGATTACAGGCGTGAGCCACTGTGCCCGGCCTAACTAGCAACTTAAACAAAAGCAGGGCATGTAAAAGTAAATGAGTACAGTGAATTTCAGTGAGTTAGAAAATAGAAAGAGAGACTTTCTGAGGTGTAGTTTAAGTAGTAGGGGCGACCGCGTTAAATAGTGGTGTTAGGAAAAAGATGCCTAGTGAAAGTAAAAGGAATGTTAGGTTTGTATAGAGCTACTCTTCCACTTTGGGGATATGGGTGAGTTTACAAGAAGTGAAGGAGAGTACTTGCGACTTCCAGGAGGACGCCGAGGGGTCAGGCCGATTGTCTGATGGCCACAGCTTTATCCTGGAATGATGGACCCACTGGAGAGGGTCTTGTAGACTGACAGCAGTTGGGGTGCTGTAGACGATCAGAAAGGGTCCTGTCCACCGAGGTTGCAGAGACCGAGGGGTTAGGCTTTTAACTAGGACTGATCTTCCAGCTAGGGTGTTTTCATATGGCTGGGTATCTGGAGTGGGTAAGAGGAAATTAGCAGACTGGTGGATTTCATGTCTGGCCTGTTGAAGGACTGGTGTCTCAGATAAGGTTAGGCCCAAGCAGAAAGGTGTGGCCATACAGGAGTTCCAAGGGGCTATACCCTGTGGCTTCTTTAGGAGTGGCTTGAATCCTGAGTCCTCTGCAGTGGATAACTCCAGCCTTGGCTGGGAGGAGAGTGGCCTTAAGGAGGGCCTTTATTAAGGGGGCATTGATAATACAGGACCCTTGCGTAGTGAGAAAACCTCTTTCTGCCCATATAGCAACATAGTGGTGTAAGATGTGGAAGGCGTACTTAGAGTCAGTATAGATATTAACATGTAGTCCTTTGGCAAGAGTAAGAGCATGGGTTAAGGCAATCAGTTCAGCTTGCTGAGAAGTGGTAGAAGAGGGAAGTGTGGCAGCCTCGATGATGGATGAGTGGGATACAACAGCACAGCCAGCTTTGGCCAATGCCAACCGATTGGGCTTCGAGAAACTGCCATTCATAAACCATGTGTGGTCTGGGTCTAGAATAGGAAAAAGATAAATATGGGGAAATGGGGAGGATGCTATATGGATTAGGGAGACACAGTCATGGGGTTCGGGGTTTGTGTTAGGTATTAACTAAGACTGAGAGCAATGGTTACAGTGGGTGTTTCAATGACTAGTGGATAGAGTTGGAGGAGGCGAGGGGTGGATAGTAGGTGTGTAAGGTGTGAGGAAGAAACTAAACTTTGGAGGTTGTGAGAGCTATAGAGGGTAAGTGGGGCATAGCCCGTGATTTTGAGGGATTCTAAGAGTATCAGGGTGGTAGTGCTGCTGCTTGTAGGCATGAGGGCCAGCCCAGGACTGTGAGGTTAAGTTGTGTGGATAAAAAGGCTGCAGGCCGTGGGCCTGGCTCCTGTGTAAGAATTCCGATGGCACAGCCTTTTATTTCTGCTGTGTGGAAAGAGAAGGGTTGAGAGGAGCTGGGGAGCACTAAAGTAGAAGCAGTCTCTAAGGCCTTTTTTAGAGAATGGACGGAAGAATTGGGGAAGGATTTTTGGTCTATGGGGTCAGACAGGTTTCCTTTTATAGGTCTTGGACTAGCTTGTAGGATTTGTCTAGTTTTTGGACAGATAGGATAGGGGAAGAAATTTGGGCTTTGGAAGGGGATATGCGATACTCCTTTGAGTATAGGTGCTGAAGAAGCAGGAGGGTGAATTAAAAGGCCATGTTGTAATAGACGGGCGATAACAGGCTTTAGGCCTTTAAAGCCTTTGTGGGATGGGGCACTGGTGCTGGGCGGGGTAAGGGTGGTTAGGTTTTAAGGGGATGATGAGGGGTGAGTGACTTGTAGCAAGGGATGGGGAGGTGGTGTTCCACACCCTAGGGTCAAGGTAGGGGACGTAAGGGGAGCTATTGAGGGAGGTACGGGTTCTGGGAGGAAGGCAGCAATGAGGTGTGGCTGTAGCCCAGGGATAGTGAAGGAGGCAGACAATTTTGCTAGGATATCTCAGCCTAACACAGGAACTGGACAAGTGGGGATGATTAGAAAAGAATGTGGAAAGGAGTGCTGGCCTAATCGACACCAGACTTGGGGAGTTTTGAGAGTCCTGGAGGCCTTGCTGTCAATTCTCACAACAGTTACGGAGGCCAAGGAGACACGTCCTTGAAAAGAAGTCAGTGTGGGATGGGTGGCCCCCATACTGACTAAGAAGGGGATAGACTTATCCTCCACCGTAAGAGTTACCTGAAGCTCAGAGTCTGTGATGGTCCAGGGGGCTTCCGAAGCAGTCTGGTAGCGTCAATCTTCAGTTGCTAGGCAGAGAAGTTCTGGAAAGGAGTCAGCTGGAGAATATTGGATTTGAACTCCAGGAGCCTTGGGAGTGGCTGTAATATGAGCCATACAGTCCGATTTCCAGTGGGGTCCCCCAAGGACAGGACACGGCTTGGAAGGAGCCTTGGGCTGTGAGCATACGTTAGCCCAATGTCCAAGCTTTTGGCATTTGAAGCAGGATGGAGCCCCAGGCTGTGGGCTCGCCCTGGCCCAGTGAACAGTTTTCTGGCCATTTGGAACCATTGTCTAATTTGTATTGAGGGCAGGCTGTATTACAGAAAAAATGAGACTTTTAGGTTTCAGATCGGGCGACAGTTGAAGAGGTTTTAGGTTTTTTAGGACACAGGCTAGAGGTGAAGACTGAGGAATAGAGGGCAGAATACTGCCCCTAGCGAAGGAGATAAGTTTTAAGGAAAAGAGTAGAGACTAGGAGAAGGGGCGAGCAGCTGCCAGGGTTTGCAGTAGGCATCCCTGACTGATTCTTGGACTGTAATGTGGAAGTGATCAAGGCAGGCGTCCCTGCGATTGACCAGACCCCAAGGGAAGACTGTCTTCCAGAGTCCATGACCACGTCAGAGTTTGTGAGCTAGAGGGAGAGACTTGTCTCCTCTGGCTCCACACGGATAGAGTGTCTCCTTTGTCTCTACTAGAAGGAGATAGCTTTGAAAGGAAAAGAGAGAGAGAGAGAGGGAGAGACTTGTCTCCTCTGAAGGAAAAGAGAGAGGAAGAGATAAGTCTCCCCTTCTCTGAAGGAAAAGAGGGAGAGAGAGACACTTGTCTCCCCTTCTCTAAAGGAAAAGAGAAGAAGGGGGGAGACTGCTTACCCAATCTGAAGGTGGCTGTTCCTCACGCTAAGCGGGAGCTGCTGAGCTGGTCTGATGTGTTGAGGTCTCAGGTGGGTCTCTTCCCAGAGGGGGAAGAGGGGACAGGGGGCTGGTCTCCCCAAACGAGTACCCTTGTCCGGGTTTTCTGCACCAAATGTTAAAACGCGCTCCGAATGAAGAGACCGCCCCCCCCAACAGGCTTTGTGTGAGCAGCGAGGCTGTTTAGTCACCCGGATGCAGGTGGGCTGAGTCAGAAAAGAGAATCAGCAGAGGGCGGTGCTGTAGGAGGTGGTTTTATAGGTTTGGGGTAAGCAGTATAAAGTTACAGAAGTTACAGGTTAGGGCGGGTTTTTGCCAGCTGGGTGGGGGTCGTAGGGTCTGGAGTCACGAGGTTGACGAAAGTCAGTTACAAAGTTCAATGGCCTTATCAATTGGGGCCGGAATAGGAAAACAATATTAGAATGTTAGTTCTTCTGTTGTTAGAAGAGTTAGGCGCTGTAGGGGTTGATCATCTTCCTCTTTTCTTGGTCTTCCGGGGGTAGCCGTGTGGAGCCTCAGTCAGCCTGCAAGACCATACACAGCCCATCATTTAGCGACTGCTCAGGGCGCCAGCTGTGGATCTGGGAGTCCGACTGCGAGCTGCTGCTCTGAGCCTCCAGCACGCGAGGACCAGGAGCGGGGATCCGGAGCCAACAAGCTCCACTCCCGCATTTCACAGATTTCACAGACACACACGCGTGCCCGCGCTGCACCGCTCCAAGGGTAGCGGTCTGCAGGGTCCCAGCGAACTAGCCCGGTAGGGCGGGAGAGGGGCGCGTGTGCCCACCCTGATTGGTTGGTGCAGCCGGCACCGGAGCCAATAGGAGCGCGCCTTGTTGTGAGGCGCCCAGCCGACCGGCGTGGTCTTCGGGAAGGACTGGCTGTTGCTGTGGAGACGCCTGGTGAGTTCCTGGAAGGCTGAAGGCTGTGCCGGGGTGGGGGGCGACGCTGGGCAGAGCCGGGGGCGCGGGTCAGAGGGGCTGCAGGCGCGAGCCTGGGTCACGTGAGGACGCTGGGGGTTTCGCGGGCAGCTCTAGAGCCACAGTCCGGGAAACTGAGGCCGGGCTTTCTGGCTGCCTCGCGGGCCTCTTTACGGCTCTCGCCGCCGCCCCGAGGTGCCTAGAATGGGTTTCAGCCTTGGGGGTGGTTCACAGTAACAGCAGGAGCCACCATTGACTTGGCGTCTGCTGGGTGCAAAGCCCAGCGTTAACCCTTTACTCGCGACCTTTCGCTTCACCTTCACAGCAGCCCTGCGAGGTGAGTGCTATTATTAGTGCCATTTACGGGGGGTGGGGGGGAAACTGAGGCCGAGGGAAGGTGAAATGACTTGCTCCAAGCCACCCAGTGGGTGAGCGCAACTCCAGACTGAAAATTTTGACTATTCTGCTCAGTGACTCCCCGCGGGAGGCGGGCCCTGGCCAGATGAAACGCACCTGACATTCCCAAGGTGTCTGCACAAGTGGCTTTGGGAGTCACTGAACTCTTCAGGACTTGGGTACAGGTAATAAATGTGGGACCGTCGGATTCCATGTGGCTAAGGTTCCTTCTGTGTGATTATTGTGGTTAGAAATAGAATGTCCTTAGAACGGTCTCGTTCAGCAGTCAGCAAACTTTTGTTGTAAATATATTAGTGTTTACATTGTTGTAGTGTAAATATAATGACTGTAATAGTATTCATAATAGTAGTTTAGCCTTGGCAGGGGGGCGTACTCTGTCTACTCAAGTGTGGCAATGTAGTGTGGATACAGCCAAGGACAATACACAAGAGAGTGGCTGTGTTGCAATAAAATGTTAATTATGGGGACCGAAATTTTTATTTATTTATTTATTTATTTTTTGGGGACGGAGTTTCGCTCGTTACCCAGGCTGGAGTGCAATGGTGCGATCTTGGCTCACCGCAACCTCCGCCTCCTGGGTTCAGGCAATTCTCCTGCCTCAGCTTCTTGAGTAACTGGGATTACAGGCACGCGCCACCATGCCCAGCTGATTTTTTGTATTTTTAGTAGAGACGGGGTTTCACCATGTTGACCAGGATGGTCTCGGTCTCTTGACCTCGTGATCCACCCGCCTCGGCCTCCCAAAGTGCTGGGATTACAGGCTTGAGCCACCGCGCCCGGCCAGGGGACCGAAATTTTAATCGTATATATTGTTTATATAATTTTCATGTGTCATAATGTTTTTCCAAATATTAAAAAAATGTAAAACCATTCTTTGCTCCTGGGCTATACAAAGAGGATGGGCTGGTTAGCTACATGAGGGGGAACTGAGACCCAGAGAGGGGCATCTATGTCATGTCAGTCACACAGCCAGGGCAGTGCCACAACTGAGTTTAAGACATAAGCTTCCCACCTTCCAGGCCAGGAAACACCCCCAGTTAACACTCTGGATCAGGGTGCTGAGGTGTTCAAAATGTGCTATTCTTTATCATATGTTCTGAGGCCATGGAAACCATACTCTAACAGGTTTGATAACTTATTGGCTTAGACTAATAAGTCTGGTGAATGTGCTGCTATCTGAGGAAACGCAGCTGCTGGGCTGGGAGTCAGAAATGAATAGATATTTTTCTTTTTCATGATTTTCAATAGCTATTTTTTTTTAAAGCTTCTTTTAGTGAGTTTCTTGGGTTTATGGTGAACAATACATAAATGGTCATTGTCCTCACATTGCTTACAGATGATAAATGTATAATCAAAATGGTTATTTATTTATTTATTTAATAGAGTTGGGGTTTCTCCACGTTGGTCAGGCTGGTCTCGAACTCCTGACCTCAGGTGATCCGCCTGCCTCGGCCTCCCAAAGTGCTGAGATTTACAGGCGTGAGCCACCATGCCTGGCATGGTTATTTATTTTTAAGCTTTTTAAGCTAATTTTAGATTTAGAGAAAAATTGCAACAACAATACAAAACATTCTCTTATGTCCCTCACCCTGCTTTCCCTAATGTTAACATCTTACATAATCATAATACAATTATCAAGAACAGAAAGCTAGTGTTGGTACAGCATTATTAACTATATTACAGACGTGATATGAATGTTACCATTTTTTAAATTAAGGTTGCGGTTTCATTCCAGGATTCTATCCAAGAACCCATGTTGCATTTTAGTTATTTCTCGTTGGTCCATAACACTTCCTTAGTCTTTTCTTGTGTTCCTTGGCTTTGATGCTTTTAAAGAGTACCGATCAGTTATTTTGTCTAATGTCTCTCAATTTAAAGGTTTGTCCGGTGTTTTCTAATGAGTGGGGTGAGATTATGCATTGTTGGCCAGAATAACGCAAAGACGCGTTGTCTTGGTGTCTTTCTCGGTGCGTCAGATGGAGTCCAGGATACTGGTGATATTTTGATCTGTTGTTTGCTTGGTGTCTGCCAGGTTTCTACACCATAAAGTTAGTATCCCTTTTTAATTAATGAGTCTGTTGGGAGACATACTTTGAGAGGACGCAAATTCTGGTTCTCTACAAGTTTGTGCGCACTGACTTTAGCCTCCATTTGCAGTTGTTTGTGGTGTTTGCCTGAAGGTAATTATTTCTCTTTCCTTCTACATTTATTTATTAAGTCAAGTTCCACAGAAAGAAGAACTATCCACTGTCTCTTTTTTTACAGTATTTGTTTGTATTAGTATAGGCCATGGATATGCATTATATTCTGTGAGTTAAAATTCATTATCTTTTTTTTTTTTTTTTTTGAGACGGAGTTTCGCTTTTGTTACCCAGGCTGAAGTGCAATGGCGCGATCTCGGCTCATCGCAACCTCCACCTCCCGGGTTCAGGCAATTCTCCTGCCCCAGCCTCCTGAGTAGCTGGGATTACAGGCACGCACCACCATGCCCAGCTGATTTTTTGTATTTTTAGTAGAGACGGGGTTTCACCATTTTGACTAGGATGGTCTCGATCTCTTGACCTTGTGATCCACCCACCTCGGCCTCCCAAAGTGCTGGGATTACAGGTGTGAGCCACCGCGCCCGGCCTCATTATCATTATTATTTTGTTGCTTAGTGTTCCAGCATTGGTTATTCAGTTGAAGGTCTCCTTCAGGTTAGCTTCTGTGGCCTATCAACCAGCCATCATCTTTTTGTTGTTGTTGAGCAATTACTTTATGACACCTAAAGATGTTCCAGGTTCATCTTGTTTTCTCTGTCCCAACCCTGGAATCACAGTTCTTTTTGTCTTCAGCCTCACAGTATCCAGTCAAGATACTGTTTTTCACAGTTCTTTAGTTTTTTTCTTCCTCATGCCCTTCAGAGTGGTTATGTTAGTTGTAATAGTTAGGTTTATTGATAGTGTTTGTATTTCATTTTGAGTTCCCCCTATATCCTAGTTGATTTTAGTTTATTTTTGGGGTATGAATTATGACTGATTTCTGATAGTTAGAGCTACACACAAAGGTATACTGAGAGAATTTTCCCCCTCATGCCTACTGCCCTGTTCCCATTTGCCCCTTTTTTCACCCCTTCCCTATGTACCCTGTATATCTAACTTTGGTATCTGGATTATCTCATATTTCTTTTGCACAAGTGAACAGATAGCTGTGTATTTTCTTTTATCATTATTTTTTCCTTTTTTTTTTTTTTTCCTTTTTTTATTGTACTTTAGGTTCTAAGGTACATGTGCAGATCATGCAGGATTGTTGCATAGGTACA